AAATTATTGTGATTTGATCTGTAACACCTAGAAGTTGTATAATTTTATACCTGTAATTTAAAAATACAGTCTCTTGTTCAATCAAAAGTCTATTACTTTAGCTCCAACTGGTTTGCATGAAGACAGAGTATGAAGTGGGTAGGATAGAGCTGGACTACAACACCCATTGGTCCACGAGGAAGACGGGGCTGGAAACCGAACGGACCCAGCAATCGCAACAACCAGCATGTGCATAAGCTGATTGGTGTGATGGATGGTGTTGGAGTCTGTACTAGCAAACTCAAGCAAGAATCAGATCTGGGATCAACTCAGATGAAGTTTCTTTGGATATCTCTCTAACTGAACTGCTGATGTTGGAACCCCAAACATCAAGAGACTGTCAGCCAGTGGACTCTGAATAGGTTTCATTGAGATTGGGACGGTGAGATTGGCAGCAATCCAGAACTGATGAACTATCTAAACTGTTTGAGCAGGACCCTTGGAGAGTGTCTCCTGTTGGGGATCGGGGATGGGTGGGAGTTTGGGTGGGGCTTTTCCCTTTGCTACTTCCCTAACCCAAGATACAGGGAAAAATGATTATAATAGTGTGGAAACAATGATATTACCCACTTTCACCCTGTAGCCCTTTACCCTTTGTACCCTAATCAACTAAGACTATTAAAAGAAATCCATAATGTTGTATATTGATACTGAGGTTTTGTTGGGGCTTTTAACTGACCGGATCTTTACTCTGTTAGCCCTATCTTCAGACTAGAGAAGGTCTCCCCAAGAGGCCACTGAACTTATCTGGACAATAAGACGCTGGACTTTATGCTAGATATGTGTTTGCAAGGAACGAATCTCAACTGAACTTGAACTGTGGTTATGCAACAAGGTGGAGGAATCCACCATGGGGGGAGGGGTATGGGAGGGGTGGGGGGAATCCCCAGTGCCTATAAAACTGTATCACATAATACAATGTTAACAACAATAAAAAAAAAAAAAGAAATCAACGCAAAAAAAAGTCTATTACTTTAACATCCATAGCTTACTACATAGTTTTCTATTACTTACATAGTTGCTTTTAGCTAGCATTTTATACATAGCAGGGATCTAATGCTTAAAAGCACAGACTCATATCTATGAAAGAGCCCAGTTAAAAGGAAATCTGAGGCCACTGTTTGACATAACATTACATTAGGTAAAAAAATTTCTGCCTTTTCTATTTCTATTTGCTTTGCTGGATGTCAGGGAGGGGAAGTTAACGGGGTGGCCTGAGATACAGGAGAACACAGGGGGCCGTTGCACCGAAGACACTTCTTCCACTCCAGAGGACATGTATTCCCCAAGGCTGTGTTCTCCACAGCTTCAGTAGCAGCCAAGGGTGGAAGTATGGTCTTCACTGCTGTAGATGTTCCCTCTAGTCAGCATCTGTGCTAATCTGCTTCCTGTTGGCCTGGAAGCTCAAATTCACCAGATGATCCTAACACTTTGGTCTGAAACATGTTGTGTCTGAAAACAGAGCACAACGTTGATCTCTGGGTTCCTCCTGGAATCCCCCAGTATTTCCAGTAGCCATGCTTGGCAGCTACTGATGAGAAAAGGAAATGATCAGAGTGTGGTGGAGATACTAAGAAATAGAATTATTTATCTTCTTACTTTACTTTTGTCTCTTCTTCACTTTTTGAACATTTTTACTATGGAAATGGGGTTAGGAGTTGATGGAGTTCCTGAGCTTTGGGAGGCTGTGGACCACCATGGAACATTAGAAATCATAATGTCTCTTGCTTTTACAGTTCAGTGAAGGAGGGGATAACAGTCTCAGCTTTTTCAAAAATTTGAAGGCCATAATCAAATGACGTGTGTTGTGTGCCATCATTCCTTGTGCCATTGTAGGAATAAAGACCATAAAACTCACAGTGTAAGCACTTTCTCATTTAAAAAAAAAAAGGTTGTGTGAGAAGAGAAATAGAACCTGATCCTATGTCCATTCCCTCCTTAAAACCATTCCTATGCAATCTGGGGAAGCTAAGAGTGCTCATTAAATCTTTCCAGAATTTATTTTAGGAGAGAGTCAAAAATATCAGGATTGCAATGAGCTTGTATTTGGCATGTTTTTATACCCATTTTGTAGGCCCTCTGTTTTCACAGTGAATGAAATAGTAAATTACTATGTACTGAATACTTATGGTATATCATGCACTATCCTGTAGGTTTACTCTGTGTTTTCTTTTAGTGCTTGCAAAATTCCTGTGATAGCAGATGCTACTGTTATCTCCATCTTGGAGATGAGTAGATGAAGCTCAGCACAGGCTGTATGGTCAGTTTAGTATCCTAGAGCTACTGGTTACTTCTTGTAAATAGCAAACCTCTGGGAGTGAGGAGTTTTATTTGGAGAACATTCCTTTTTTATTTTTTAGTAATTGTGAAAGGCAAAATTAGAGAGATAGGTAGATATCTTGCATTAGCTGATTCTCTGTCCAAATGACCTGCAGCAGCTGGGGCTGAAACCAACAGACTGGAACTAAATCCAGGTCTCTGGCATGGGTAGCAGGAAGCCAAATACACGAGTCATCGCCTGTGACCTCCCAGGCAGATTCTCAAAAAGCTGGATGAGGGGCAGAGGGGAGACCTATTCCAGACATTTCAATATGGAAGACAGGAATCCTAAGCAGTGTGTTAATCCTCTGCATTATATTATGTTTGTATGTTCTTATGTGGAAGTAAATTAAAACTGTTATTGATTATCAGTCTGGAACGATTTGAAGCTTTTACAAGAGTGTTTGGTCAATAAAAATCAAACTGAGTTTTTGATTGTGATGTCACAAAAATTACAGATGTGTCCAGGGAAAAAAGAGTAATTAGTGTGTAATGATTGAGACACCAGTCATTCCCTAAGGGAGTGTTAACCAGTTAGGTAGTTAATGGACTAAACCAGACCACTGGTCATTAGCTGAAGCAGGAAATCCTTCTGGGAAATGTCTTATTTTAAAGTTAATACTCTTGCTTGAATGTATGTATTTAAAACAGAAAGCTTGACTCTTGTGCTACGTGCATGAGGGGCTGTGCAAAGGGACAGCCTGTAAAAGGGACTGAATGTAGTTGCTAGAGAAAAATGAAATAAAATTCACCTGTATTTGTGCAAAGAGAAACATAGTTGAATACTCCAGACTCCAAATTATTGCTATGGAAATTGGAGTTTATGAGTTCTGTGTTCACCAATGAAGTCAGATGAAATAGTACTGCCAAGAGAATACTGCACTAAGGTAAATCCCTTCAAGGGGAAGTCGGAATGAGAGAAAAGGGAGAGAAAGAAGGAATTGACAAAGGCAGAGTATTAGAAAGGGGGAGAAATCAACTTGCACATGACCTCGTAGTGAGTTCTAGTCATTTGGTCATTCCATTTGATTCATTTTATCTGCGGTTGAACAGTCTGTAGCCCCCCCTCCCCTTATTTTTCCTTCAGAATCTGTTATCACACTACCACTCTCCTCTTTTTTCTTTTTAAAGATTTATTTATTTATTTATTTTTATTGGAAAGTCCAATATACAGAGGGGAAGAGAGATGGAGAGGAAAGATCTTTCGTCCACTGATTCACTGCCCAAGCAAGTGCAACGGTTGGAGCTGAGCTGATCCAAGACCAAGCCAGGAGCCTTTTCTGGATCTCCCACACTGGTGCAAGGTCCTAAACCTGGCTTATTTTAAGAAAAGTTAAGTAAATAAGGTCTTAAATAAGTGGCTAAATACGGATCTAATGTCAGATCTGAAGTCGGTATTTGGCACATCTATATCCCTTATGCTACTGCCTGGCTTTGAAGCTCAGCTCTGCTTCCAAATCCAGCTTCCTGTTGGTGCACGTCCTGGGAGGCAGCAGATAATGGGTCAAATGTTTGCGTCTCAGCACCCATTGGGCAGCCTTCGTGGAATTCCAGATTCCTAGCTTGGCCTGGCTGTGCCTTGGTGGTTGTGTACTTTCTGAGAGTAAACAAATATCTATTTCTTTTAAATAAAATGAAAAAAATAAATACCAAATGTTTTAAAATCACTTCTTAAATTCAAAGCTGTTCAACTAGTATGGTTTTCTGACAAGTCTGTTCTTGTTTATTGGTGTTTCCCACTTTCCAGTACCTGGAAGAAGAATATCCCATAGAGTACCAAAAACGGACACTTCTCCATCTTTATTGATCTTCATTTTTTCTGCAGGACTTTTTACTCTGAAATACATTCTCCCTACAATTGCAATGGCATCATTGTGTACGGTTACTTCTTATTCTGATCGCTCCTTCTTCTTTGGCATTTTTGATCTCTCTGTCCCATCAATTAAGTAGACTTCAACCTTAGCCGTAGTATCTCCTCCATTCTCACAGTGCCAGCTCAGTCATTCAGAAGTCGGCTGTGGGGTTCTGATCTCAGGCATCATCACCCCATCAATGTCTTGAAGTGACTGTGCTGCGTTTTCTTCAATAAACTTAAAATATCAGGTCCTAAATTTCAGTGTTTTTATCTATGTTGATTCATTGGGTTATTTGAAAAGTCTTGTCCTCGGGCCCGGTGCGGTGGCGCAGTGGTTAAGTCCTCGCCTTGCATGCCCGGGATCCCATATGGGCGTTGGTTCTATCCCAGCAGCCCTACTTCCCTTCCAGCTCCCTGCCTGTGGCCTGGGAAAGCAGTCGAGGACAGCCCAAAGCTTTGGGACCCTGCACCCGCGTGGGAGACCAGGAAGAGTCTCCTGGCTTCGGATCGGCATAGCATCGGCTGTTGTGCTCACTTAGGGAGCGAATCATCGGACGGAAGATCTTCCTCTCTGTCTCTCCTCTCTGTATATCTGCCTTTCCAATAAAAAATAATAAAAATAAATCTTTAAAAAGAAAAAAGTCTTGTCCTCAAGGTGAGAAATTGTTGCTTCCACTTGGTTTATTCGCCTATTGAAGCTTTCAATATCATTATTTTTTTGTTGATTTAATTTTTTGTTTCTAATATTTGTATTTAGTTTTTTATTATTTGTTTTCTTTTTTACTAGCACACCAGGAGATGAAGGCGGGTTGCAGTATTCACTCATGTCTCCACTCTGGAATAAAAGGACGACTCCCAAGGAAACAGTAAAGTATCTGGTTTTTCTTAATTATATATATTTTCCTAGTGATTTTTTTACCTCTATTTCAAATACTTCCTCATTTCCTTAAGAAGCCTATCATTTTTCTCTTCTATCACATTGGATTTTCTTACAAATGTTAGTTTTAAATCCTTTTTCTGGAGTTTCCTCGATTTCTTTCATCTAGTATCTATTCTGAGGAGCTGCTGTTTTACTTGGAGATGTCACGCGCCCTTTCTCCTCCATGTTTCCTGTGTCCCTTCCTTGACATCTGTATAGCTGGTGAAATATTTTCCTTCTTTGTGCAGTAGGTTTTCTTAAAAAAAATGATTTTTCAGTATGCTAGTCTCCATTGTACAGTTATTCTATGAGAATATGTGTATGAATTTACTCGTCTATATAACTGCTTTGTGGAAGTAGGCATTTCTACTCCCAAATAAATGGAGGACTCTAGTGGAACAGTTCAGTACTGGTGGATTCTCTACCTTTGTCTATGCCTACACTGACATGGTGTGCTTTAACAGCAGAATGTAAACTTGTCACTGTTAGTAAAGGACTATAGTGCTGCAATACTATGGGGGGATGAAATGGTGGAAGGGAAAATGAGGGGGAAGAGGGAGGGAAATGGAGGGATTCCTGTACCTGCAAAACCGCACCATGGAAAGGAATAACAAAATGTAAGCAGCAAAATGAATTCTTCGACTTTAGGAAAAAGAACTTATTATTTGGTTGGAACATAGAATATCCTTGGGCTTGCTGCTTTGGAGTTGATTCTGGGTGAGCCTGGCAGTGAAAACTCGGAGCGGTTTCTTTTGCTTTAATCATTGTAAATGGGACCTGTAAGTGACACAGCAGTGTGGGCTGCTGCACTTCATACAGGTGTGACTTTGAGGTGATGTGGGTTTCCTAGGGTCTGTATTTTCAGTCTCCACACATCTGGGCCAGTTCCCCTAGTGACTGGGATGACCAGCGCTTTGTACTTTGCTAAAGAGACACAAGGCTGGAGGCAAGCCTGTGTGGTGTCAGATATTTTGCCAATTTATCTTTTTAGTATTGATTTGTGGCAATCTTTATATATTTTCAATGTAAGACTTTGGCAAAATAACCATGTTTTATCACTACATGGCTTATTGCTTTTTTTACTGTTCCTTGTTGATATAGAAATTTAAATTTTAATTTAAATAAAAATTTTCCCTAGTTTTTAAAAATTTTTATGATATAGTTTCATAGGCTCTGGAATTTCCTCTCCCCACCAGCGCCCGCCTGCCAAGTTCCCTTCCCTTTCTCATTAATTTCCTTTTTGTTATTACAATGTATATCCATAGCATATTTTAATTTGTCTTTGAGATCACAGGCTTAATACTCCATTAGGTTAAGACATCACCACCTGAAAGTAGGAAATAATACTAATATTAAAGAACAACAATGATAAAAACTCCTTAGGAATATAAACAAAGGTTGTAGACAATCAAATCTCAGAATGACACTTTCGCACTTGTTTGGTACTTTGGTGATTTGTGTATTGGTGATCACAAATTAGGGAAATCATAAGCTATTTTGTCTTTTGGGGATTGGCTTATTTCACAAGAATAATTATATCCATTGTTTACAATTGCATCCATTTAGTTGCAGAAGTTAAGATTTCATTCATTTTTATAACTGAGTTGTATTCCATAGTGTATATACCACAGTTTTTTCTTGATCCAGTAATACATTGCCGATCACCTGGGTGAATTCCATTTCTTAGGTTTTGTGACTTTGACCATGATAACTCTCTCATATGCTGATTTCATTTCATTTGGATGAATTCCCAGGAGCTGAAAGAGGTGGGTCATATGGCAGACCTATTTTCGGATAACTGGGGTGTCTCTCTATTCTCTTCCATAATGGCTACACTCATTTACTTTCCCACCAGCAATGGAGCAGAGTACTGCTTCCCCTTCTTCCTCGCCAGCATTTATTGCTTTCTGATTTTTGGATGATAGCCATTCTAACTGGGATGAGGTGAAACCTCATCATGGTTTTTATTTTCATTTCCTAATGGCTAATGAACTTAAGTATTTTTTCGTATGTCTGTTGGCCATTGGAACTTCATCCTTTGAAAAATGCTGGTTCGTGTCCTTTACCAGTTGCATAATTGAATTATTTGTTCTGTTGTTGTTGAATTTTTGAGCACTTCATAGATCCTGGATATTATTTCTCTAGCATTGCATGGTTTGCAAGTATTTTCTCCCCTTCTGTTGGATGCCTATTGATACACTGCCTATTGATACACTATTGATAGTTTCTTTTTTATGTCCAAAAGCTGAGCTTGATGTTGTCCCATTTGTTTATTTTTGTTTTCACTGTGATTTGGGTTCTTTGCAAGAAGTCTTCACATGTGCCTGCCTTGCAGATGTCAGCGATATTTTCCTCTAGTAATGAGATGATATCAGTGGTAGTTCTAGATCCTTGATCCGTTTAGAGTTGATTTTTGTGTAAAGTGTAAGGCAGACATCTTGTTTCATATTTCTGCACATGGGAATTCATTTTTTCCAAGACCATTGGTTGACAAGACTGTCTTCTCTCTGGATTGATTTCAGTATGCTTATTGAAAATTAGTTGGCTATAGATGTGTATGTATGTATGTTTATTTCTGGGATTATTTTTGCTGTCCTGTCTTTCTTCAGGTCTGTTTTGTCAAGATTAGGATGTTTTGCTAACAATTGCCATGGAAAAGATTTTGAAGTCTGATATGCTGATGCCTACAACATTGCTTTTGTTTTTTTAAGATTGCTTTATTTTTTTTTTGAGGTCTTGTATTTCCTTATGAAATTTGTGATCATTTTCTAGATTTGAGAAAAATGTCATTAGTATTTTTATTTTTATTGGGATCATGTTAAATGTATAAATTACTCATGATAATATGGACATTTTAATGATAGTTATTCTACCAATGCAAAATATGTGCTTTTTTCCTTTTTTGGTGTTTTCTGATGTTTCTTTAATATTTTGAAATTTTACTATGAACTGCTAAATACTAAAGTTAAAATAGACATGAGACAGCTGAATAGTAATCTATAGCCATTTTAAGGTGTATAGAACCCAGTTGTATATAAACTAATAATCGTAATGTCGATGTAGAAGTCATAGGATGTGGTTCAGAACTTGCACTCTTTTCTCTCTCTCTCTTTCTCTCTCTCTCTTTTAACATGCTGGTTACTCAATACCATGTCAACTAATTCCATTAGGTTATAAATTGTTACTGATGTAATGCTGGGGTTCTTAATTGATTGGGATGATACTCTGTCAGCTCTACCCTCCAAGAAACTGTTGAACTTATCTGGACAATAAGATGCTGGACTCTATGCTTTGTAGATGCTTGCAATGAAAGAATCTCAACTGAGTCTGAACTGTAGTAATGCAACAAGAATCCACCATTCCGGGGGTGGGTTTTGGGGAGGGAAGGGGGGAATTCCAGAGCCTATAAAACTGTGTCCCATGATGCAATGTAATCAATAAAAAATAAATTAAAAAAAAAGAAATTAATTTTCATTAACAGAATCTCTCCAAGGCTACATTAAATTTATTCTAAGGATTTCAGCATTTTTGCAGAATGAAATTTATTTCACAAATTCTTTTCTATCCAAAGGCTATTGCTTATTTTGTCTTGATTTTGTATCCTGTAAATTTACCAAACACCCTTATGAGATCCAACAGTCTCTTAAGTCTTTTGGTTGCCTTAAACAAAGGACCATGTCATCTGAAATTGGGATAGCTTGACTTACTCCTTTCAACTTTGTATTCATTTATTTATTTATTTATTTATCGCCTAGTGGCTCGGCTAAAACTGCCAGGACCAAACTGAATAGCAGTAGTGATAGTGGGTATCCTTGTCTGGTTCTGTATCTTAGTGGAAACGCCTTCAACTTTCTTCCATTCAATATGATACTGGCATTGTGTTTCTCATACATTGCCTTTATCATGTTGAGAAAAGAACTTAAAGAACTTTCTATAGTCAATTTGCTTAAGCTTTTTTTTGTCATATAAGGATATGTTATCAAATGCTTTTTCTGCATCTATCGAGAGAATTATGTGGTTCTTATTCCTCAGTTTGTTCATATGATGTATCATGTTTATTAATTTTCATATGTTGTACCATCTCTGAAAAACTGGAGTAAATGCAACAAGATCTATTGGGTGGTATTCCTGATGCCTTGCTGAGTATGAGTAGGCTGTGTCTTGTTGAGGATTTCTGCATCTGTGTTCATCAGGGATGTTGGTCCGTAGTTAATTTTCTTTGTTGCATAGTTTTCTGATTTTGGAATTAGTATGATGCTGGCCTCACAATATGATGCTCCCCTTCAATTGGTTTGAATAGGTTGATAAGCACTGGCATTAATTTTTCTTGAAAATTTAGGTGGAATTCAGCAGTGAGGCTACCTCATTCTGGGCCTTGCATGTTGGCAGAGTCTTTATTACTGAGTTTAGATCCATGTTAGTTATTGATCTACTTAGATTTTGTGTGTCCTCATGTGTTTTCCAACTCATTGAAATGTAGTTGCTTACAGCAATTATTGATGATTTTTCATATGTCTGTGTTATCCAGTTGTTTTATCTCTGATTTTATTGGTTTTGCTCTTGGTCTTCTTTTTTTCTTTCCTTTTTTTTCTTTTTGTTGATTGGACTAATGGTGTATCAATTTTGTCTACTTATTTTCAAAAATGGTCTTTTCAATTCACTGATCTTATATAACTTTTTGTTTTAGTTTTCTTTATTTCTTTTCTAATTTTAATGCTCTCTATTACATTTTTGTTTGGTTTATTACTTTTCTGGGTCCTAAAGATGCATTGATAAATCATTTATTTTAATGCCTCTTTGATTTGCTGTTGTATAACTAACTGCTGTGCATTATCAGTCTTAATCCTGCTCTTGCTATATCAATTATTTTCTTTTTTTTAATTTTTAAATTGTATTATTATTTTCTGTAATACATTTTTGTAGGTATAGGGATTCCTCCAAATACTTTTTCCCTCTCCATTTTCTCCTCCCACCAGCTTCCCCCATATTTTTACAGTAGTATAGTCATTCAGTAACAGTCACAAGTTTAACATTCTGCTATTGAATTGTATCATTGCATTGCTGCTATATTTAAAAAAAAAGGTTAAAAAAAAAAAACCCAAACTGAGTGTCTCTTTAATGGCTGTATAACATTATA